TGAGGAAAGAACCTCATTGAAAAAGAATCTACAACTCAACGAGCTTCGATGAAAGCCATGTGTGCTAGAAAAGAGCGCAATTACCAACCTTTACAATATTGCACAGTCATATAACAGCTGTCCGTTATGGAAATACAATGTCACAACTGGCTGGCTAGGTGAATGTGCCCCTAGCCTTAGCGATTCAGAAAATTAGCATTTTCGACATTGCTGCAGGAAGACTGGTCTCGAAAACACACCCCATTCTCTCTAACAATTAGATGCAAATTTTTAAGCCAATCTCGGCTTCGTGTCTGACGTTCTCCCGCGCTTCTGGCAGTTCAGTTGTCGTTTCAAGTTGGCTTCTAATGATCCCCTGTGGTATTCTCATTGTTCCGTTTGCCGTTGTGATTACACGAAATGCTTTTCGAGAAAAACAAACATGCAAAAAAAACAACAAAAACACAAAACAAAAGTGTACCGTTTTAAAGGGTGTTTTCCCCGTTCCATTGAGAACATTTTATCGAATCTAACAACATGCGTACTTCGTGATGTTTTACAAAATAAATTAATACAACTATTTACGGTGTACCTTTTCTTAATTTTTATCCAAAATGGGTCAGACAGGATTAATGTTCTTAACGACGGAGAGAGCCCTCTAAATAAAGAGATAGTATTTGTCTAAGATATGTTTATTAAAGGAAGAAAAAATGAAGTCTGCCGAAGTTGTTGAAGAGAGATATGGACTACAAAGAGCCGATTCTAAAGCGACTTTTACCTGAATAGCTATTCCACTTTTTTCGAAAAACAAACGTATTTAAAATTACGATTTTCGAGAGAAGGAAGTATTTAAGCTCGTCAAAGTTGAAAAATGGTAACACTTCCTGCTTGGCGCGATTGACAGCAGATCTAAAGATCTAACGATACAGGATAACTTTCCATAGTATGTCATCAGACAAGAAAGAAATTCCGGCAATCGGAAAACGGGGTTAAAAATTTTAACTGCGCGGCGATTTTCGCTGTAAGAATGACATATAGATTATCAAAAACTTAGATACGGCTTCAAGCAAGAACTAGGCGACGCCACAAGGGATTCATGTGTCATTGTTAAAACTTCATGCCATAATTATTTCACCCTAAAGTCACCGAATGTTATAGGCTATGTTGCTCACTATCATCAGAGATGGGCTTCCACCATACTTCGAAAACCTCCTCTAAACGAGGAAAACTTCTTCGACAAGCAGAGTTTAAAATACTGCATTTGGTGTTGCGATTTTAGCAACAGCTTTCACGACGCAAATCAATCAATATCATGTCAAATATCTAGAGCATGAATCACTTTTGTTGCATATAAGTTTCAGAAAGATAATACGTTATTTTAAGGTAAATTAAACGCAGTAAAGTATTACTAAATTAAGCTTACTTACGGCTGAAAACTGAAATAGCTCCCGTGTAAATTTTCTAAGTAGTGCAGGTTAGGAAAATAGAAATTCTCAACCTCCGCCCACAATATAGTGCCTCAGTTGGGCATGTGTTCTGACTGAGTTTTCACTCTTGTAATGTTAATATAATGCTTCACGCTGGGCGATCGATTTGTCGTACTCGCTAAACAATTGACAAAGAAGGGTGGTCGTGTTTTTTATCTGTCAGACGAAGGTCGCTTGGCTAGACCAACATTTGGCGGAAAGCTCAAAGTCTAACATCAAACGAAAACTTTTGATGTCGTGAACAACTAGTCCTAAAGTTTCCCACAGTCCAACGTACAACATTTATGAGGATCGTTCATTTCGTACCGGTATCGTTTGGTGACGATTATACCTTAACTGTTAGAGAGGATAATGGCAGACTATTGAATACAGAACAAAATTTAAAAAAACTTATCGTTCTGTCCATGCATAAACCACCGACAATTATAACCTTTGATTTCTGAAAATAACTTGTCTGATAGCAAATCCAAGGTCATCTGATTGTTCCACTGAGGTTTACAAATGATATCTGGGCCTTGCCAATTTTTTAGGCATCGATTGTCTATACAAAGGGTACTTCAATTTCCTAATAAAGATATTTTTACACGTTTTCGAGCACAGCAGGGAATGATAAAGACAAAAAAAATAATAGTAAAATAGGATATAAAGATTATTTTTTATTTTTAGCTATGTGGTTGATAAATAAAGAGTTAGGTTAACTAACGGCAAGTTCAGAAGTCTGGAATCATTGTCATCAACATACAGGCAATCAATCATAGTCACAAAACTACCAGGGTGCTCTAAGGGCTCTTCTCTAAGCTATTGTGTCTAAAAAATTGTTACCCAACCACTGTGTCAATATCTTGTTGATATGGCCCTCACAGAAGCGGTTCTTTTTAACTCTCTTGTATGGAATAATTGTCTAGAAAACCAATTTATAACATTCAATTAATTGGGTCTGCCCTGGTTACCGTTCGTCGAAAGTTATTTAATTGAAATAAACCATCACTTTTCACATATTCACATCTAGCCAAACAAAGAACGTATTGTTAAATTCTCATCTTGATCGATAACGCTCGAAGATGGCTTCGAGATGCTAAGATTTTAAAGTACTGTTTTGTTGCCAGGAACCACTTGTAACATTTGGGAGTGTAACGTTGAATCAGTGATCAGTGTACTTGATTTCAGCAAGTACAATTTTCAGGTACACTGTTTGACAAAGGAAAAAAATCAAATGTGTTGTTATAATGATGAATAAATAAGGAAAAAATTTAAGGCTGAAACGTTGAAGATTTTAATGCTTCGCTGAGTTTTATAGTCCATAGACCAACCACATCTTACAAGTACGATAGGAGTCTGGCAAAAATATCAATGGAGAGCGAAGATCTGTACTATTTTAATTCACTCGTAACCTGTATGTTAATTAATTTGGTTTTATGAAAGTAAAACAGAAACAGCTCTGTTTAAACCTAGAGGCAGAGTCATGCCCTCAAGCGTTTTGCAAAAATGTGTCTCTTTCTTGACAGTAAGTCTGTTACCACAGATTTCAAAACCCATAAGTAACTCGCCTTTGTTTTACTTAATTCATAAGTAAAATCGCGTGATTTTTATTTACTTTTTCCATTTTTAAAGACATGTACAAACGGTATGTCATGCAAGCGCATGATAAAAGATTTGCACCGATTCCTGACACGAACTTTGTACGCCCTAATTAAAGTTATCTAACCATGAATATTCAAAATACCGAGTTTCAGTTTTTATCTCTAAGATCAAAACTGAACTTCTGACGCAAAGGCTGATTTTTGCTTGAAATTTTTTTCCAGCTTCGAAGACTAAGGAAAATTATGGAGTATTTTTAGGAAAAACAGTTATAACTGCATTTGATTGTTCGAAAAGTGTGAAAATCACGAGAATTCGCTGTCGTTCAAAAATCTATTTCAGAACAAAAATAACATCTGGGTTAGTTTACTAAAATAGCTCGCTAATCGGTGAAGCACAACTGGAAGATTGCAGAGGGTATCGTGTGTTCTTCGTAATCGAGACAGTGCTACATTTATTTCACATGGGGACGTTTCTGAATCGCGTGAGGTTCTGTGTAGAGAGTTTGGGAGATGACAGAAACACACTTTATAAAGATATACTTGGTGACGAGCTAATCGGATCAGATTTTCATTAAACAGGCTTCTGCTAGCAGCCTTTAACAATTGATGCATAGTTGTATTGTTTACATGTGATAACGATAGCCCGGACTAAATAGGAAAGGTTTGAGATTTCAGATTGATGGCATCTCTCATGACAAGTAGAAGGGGCATATTTTAACATAAATATTGATTAGATAAACACAATTGAAGAAATGATATTATTTTATCGCATCTTAATCAAGAAGTTACTGGAAATTAATATGAAAGAAATCACAAGCTTATTTAAGTTGGTTAAATTTTGAGAACAAACCCCAAATTGGTTCCTCGCAGCGCAAAAACGCAAACTAAACATTCCTTAACGTCAACCTGTATTCGACATAAGAACACCACACCGCCATCTAAACTGACTTCGAATGTCCGCCCCCTAATTTAACACATGCAAATGAATTGGTAAGTGGTTTTGCGGTCGAAATGCCTAGAACAGATGGAGGAGTCTTTGCTTTAGGGGGGCTATTTTAAGTAACGGCGCTATTGAACTTCTAGAAGGCCGACCTCGAGTGCGTTGTTTTGAAAGCTTTTAATTGTTATTGTATCACAGAGTCAAACACAGCACGTGAAATAATTTGCCTTTTAATGAGTCGACGGGTGAATAGATAAATTAGAGCTTGGCTCTTAAAATAACCTAAAATTTGGTGGCTTGCCCGAATGCTCGTATTTTTAAACAAGTTTATCCTATCTTTGAATTCCAGCGCTGTATGTCAAGACAATACACAAACTCTGGTTCGTTTACACAGCTTAATTTTAGTCCTGTAATTATATTTACACGGACCCATGATCTATCAACAACAATTACCCAGACAGAAAAAAAGTGTGCGTTCTGCATACATGGGCCCTGTCTACAGGTTCTCGATGCTGCGCTTTTCCAAGCTGCCTCTATCTTCAAGCGTTCAACCAAAACAATGTACAACGCCTTTAATCATAACGTCAAAATACATTCTCCACCGGACTCAAACGATGGTTGCAGTCTAAGTTTCAAATGAACCATGCAGAGAACAAAACACCTTTCTAATGATGCATTATTATTATTAATAGAAGACTGGTTCATATACACCTTCAACTGTTACACTGTAGCTCACAAATTTCTGCCTTATTTTTGTTTGATTCCATCTTAAAGCTTTTTATTTTCCATTTATGTGATATTTGTTGCCGAAATAGTTCTTCCAACATCTAAATTAATGCGATTTGAAATAAGTATTTTGTTAGGCAGCGGAACAGGCACAGCAATAGGATAATGTTGTTGTAACTGACGGAAGTCTAGAGTACATAACAAAAACTCTTTATAGACAAACTTGATACTAGCAAGCTCTTGAACGAAAGTCAAAAAACGAGTTATTACACAAAGAAACAAACATACCTCTTTGGAAGTACTTCAAATCAATTCTTGCGGTAAAACTCGTGTTCTTGTCACAGAGCAGAAGTCACTAACGCAATATCGCCAAGATGTTGAAGCTTGGCTAGAGAAACACCAAGCACAGAAAGGCATTAACACTACACTGAAGTTATCGCAGAACAGGAAAAAAGAAAATTTCATGCACTTCTGACAACAATGTGATAGCTGGTTGCTGCTAAGTCATCTCGTATAATCTCATTAAACCGACGGTTAGTCATGCGAGGATTTTTGACATCCTGTTTCCCTCAGGCGAAAGGTCACGGCGCATTTGTGACGTTCGAATTCACAACGAGGTTTGCTGGTGCAGCAAGCACGTTTCACAATGGATCTGAATACCAAATACTAACATTACCAATGAGTTATTACAGCATGGCTTAACTCCATCCATAATGACTGTGATTGTCGCATAATTTGCAGTAAATTGCATGCAAATGTGACCCTGTTAATAGCTTATCACCTTGGCCAATGCTAAAATATCATTTTGTCACTTGTTTAAGAAACGCGACTGATAGGCCTCATCTGTTTTGAGCATCAAAAGCGAAATATTACGTTTCAGAAGCCTGCATCGATAAAATCAGATGTGGTTTTCAGAAAATGAGGCGATAACATTTTTCTTTTCTCTCTTTTCATGCATGATAATTCAGTGATTGCGAAAAATGTACCGAACGCTCCAATATCAGACTTATCCGGCACGGAGACAAACAGAAAGCCATCAAAAAGTTCGATTAAAAATATTGAACGGGTCTGAAAGCCGTAGATGTGAATACCGGAAATATAACGGTCAAATAGTTATTATTAAAGGCATTTTGGCCATTAGATGAGCTAGCCAATACCTCTCTTCAAATTTCCTGAGAAAAAAAACCTTGCGTTAGATGCCGAAAGTTCAAAAGTTTTCTTCAGTGTTAATGTTAACATTTTTTCGTAGTTAAGAATTTATTCATGTTTAGCGTGCGTATATCGAGTTATGGTGCACGTGGGAAGTTTGGAGAGCACGAAAAATGCGTAAGAGTAGCTCGAGGCGCAGCCGAGAGCAACTCTAGCTTTTTGAGTGCTCTCCAAACTTCCCCGCGTGCATTCATAACTCGATATACGCACAGCTAAAAGCATGAGCAAATTCTTTTATAACAGAGCGACAACAAGGATCTGCGCGAAAAAGCCTTTTATTGTGATAGAGTGCAGTTGTGATTGTTTTGGTTTTGGTAAATTCCCAATTAACAACTGTGTACTTTATTCCCCAGGTTGAACAAATTTAAAAAAAACAATAAAAGCGGAAATTTTACCTCTACATGTTATTAATGACCAATTGGTGACTTTTTTTGTTCCCAGTGAATGTCTTTCGGCCAAAATTTGCTGCAGCTGGTCTTCCGACAAATTTGCGAAACGTGCAACTTACGAGTTTTTTCGGCTTTATTTTTGTTGCTTGTTGGATCAGGACCTAAGATTTCAAAGAGAAGGAAAACTGCACTGCAGCCTAATAGGACGGAAACTCTTAAGCCAGGTAAAAAAAAAAAAAAAAATGTTCACGTCATCTTATTTACACGCAGGCGTGCGTAAATAAAGATTTTGTTCATAGCGGCTCAATCGGACTTATATAGGGCAAGCACGCGCGCTATGTTATAAAGTTGAATTTAAAATAATGAAAGAAATTCTTATTAGGAAAATTCAAATTCTCTTAGCTAATAGTAAAAAAAAAACCGGCTCACTGTTACTGCAACCAGACTGAAGAATTTTTTGCGTGATGAATTGCAACATCAATATAATTTGTAAGAAGTTTAGTCGTTATACCGGGATATCCGCTCGATGCTCTGATTATAGCAATATGTCCAAAATTATGCCGGCATAATTTATGTGACCCTTGTATACATTCCTTTGAGTATTTGTCTCGATAAGGGAAGAAGTAACATTTCGCGATCTTAGTTTTTCCATAGAATAATGGATATAGATGAGGATAGAATAATACTGACAGCAAGATGCATAAAGCTTTGCCAAAGTTGCGATTATTTTATTGAGACTAAATCATTTTCGTCGCTGGGCAACAGGTTGGAAATGAACACATGCTTGGTGAAGTGGAGCACGTTGTCTTTTGATCTGTTTTTAGACTAATTTTCTATTCGTTGTGCTAAAACATAGATGTACTCGAAACCAAATATTGCTCTTTTTGAAATTAAAAATAAATGATTTTATTTTGAGCTGTCGGCGGAAAACGCAAGATTCTAAAGAACTATAGGATAATTTTCGGATTGCCTTATGATTAAATACAAGAAAAGATTGCAAACAATGCAAAGGATGTAGAAAAAATATGCAATCACATAGTTTTGACGAATTCGTCAAATTTTTATTTTGCGAAGGGCTCTCTGTGTCTAAAAATAGAGGAATTTGGGAGTCAACTTTCACGAGCTAGTTCGGAAAACGGAGAGAAATGAAGTTCTACTGTCTGACTTTCAGTTGACTGCACAACATTTGCATTTGTATTTAAATAAGACGTATTTTTCAGCTGCATTTAAAGCTATTTGAGGATTTGAAATTCTTTATCATTAACTTTGTTGAAAGAATCTAAATTTAGATGTTCTAGACTCAATAGATTCTAAGTCAGGTGTTGAGTAGCGCTTTGTGCAATTGAAATAATTTTCTGGTTCCCTGATTGAGCGCCGAGGGAAAAATTAAAAATAAATCTTGTTGCTCAGTATGGCGCCTACGCTGCCTGTGTTTTTAGCAGGAAAAAATCGGACACGTACTGTGAATCCTTGTTGCTTAAACAAAACAGTTTCAGCTTTCGCAAAGCTGAAAGTAAGCTGTTATTTTTCAGTCTGTATGTACTTCTGCTGTCGTGCAGTTTACATGACAATCATTTACAAGTCGCATTAGATAGCGACACAAAAGGATTGTAGAAAACACTGCGCGTTTCGTGTTCGGACCAGGCATACGCCTTTCTCTACCAAGACCTTATTAGTAATTCTCCCATACAATTATAATGATGTGAGTTTTGAGAATTTGGTATCGGATCAACTAATAATACCCCTAATTGATATTTTTCTTTATTCTCATGACTTGTCTGCTTGACAATGTATTGATATTGTAAGGAGAAATTCTGTCTTGGTCATCAATGAGGCATCTCTCCGCGCATGACACTATACCTCCCAAGATCTGAGTCCTAATTCTCCCTACTAACTACTACACATTTCCCGGCTGTTAACTTTAAAGAGTTAGAAGGAGGGGGGTTAAGGCTCGGGTAAGAAGGGGGGGGGGGGTCGGAAGATTTTGCTTGTGGCACGATGAAATTTAAGTTATCCCTTCATGAGGTTCTGTAATATTGCGGTGATTCCCGTCCCCGCCCCCCTTCATTGGCGGTCAATTTTAGCAACCCCCCCTTATGCTCTGTTAGTGACATCTGATCCCCCTCCACTCCTCTTGAAAACCATGTGACCCCACAAAATCCCCCCCCCACCCCCCTTAGGCTATAAATACTGCGACTGATCCCGATCCTTTACCAAAACTTGAAAAAGTTTCGGCAGCAACTGATTGTTTACTAGCCATCAGTGAACTTAACCTTCCAACAATTAAAGGAGTTTAATTTATTATTTGGGCGGAAGTTGACAAGAAATACCGACTGACTGATCACAGTGGTATTTATCTCATCCTCTGCGAAGACTTGTTAAAACTTGACAACTTAAAAGTTGGCTCGACTGATTCTATGCCGAAATACTTGTTTTTTGCGGACTGAAAGTTTTGCGCTTTTACGTCTAAAAATTTGGTTTTGGCTATATCCTTTTCGTTTCGCTATCGTAAAGTAGAATAACTGCTTTGCTCACGCATGCGAGCTACAGCCCGCACTTGGGTCACGTAATCTGATGTGAAGCGAATTTTAATAGTTCTTTCGTGCGCGGTTGCTGCGCTATACCGGGGAAGCTTTGTTACATCACATCTCAAATTTTTAATCAGAATTATTTCTTGGTGGGTAAACGTGGTGTATGTACACTTTGACAACACCGCAAATACTGGAATTTCGGAGCAATTTTATGTTGAAATGCTATCATGATGCGCATTGGATGCGCAATTAAGATCGATCGGGTTATCGTAAGAGCTCATTGTTCACTTACAGTCAACACCCTAGGAAACCCTGACATACTTCTTCCCTATCCCAACTGCTAAGACTAGAAACCATCCAATAATGTAGTCGGGTCCTTGAATTTGGCAGTGCGTAGAAATGCGTAGAAATGCGTCGGTAAGGTAATATGCCTTTTGCTAATATCTTGAATTACTGATAATATTCTCTTAAAAGGAAGGCGTTGTGAACAATTTGAACTGAAAGCAGGTTAAATGCATAAAGTAAGCATTTGGCTAAAAGATTAGCATCCTACGTTGGAGACATATTGTCTGTCCATAAGTAATGAATTCAAGACTAGTTCAATCTGTCACATTTAAACATCTGTTGTGTACGATTACACGAGGACATCAAAGTTCTGTTTCATCAAGTTCAGTAGAGATCCAGGAAAGCTAAGAGACAAACTCGCAAAAAAAATTACGCCTGTTCTGGAGGTTATGTTTAATGCAACAAACAAAATTGAGCAAAGTATAAGCTTCGTAATATAATGTTAGACCTTGGTCGATGGGCAAGTTACAAAACTATTAGTTTCCCATAGACTGCAGATTTGATAAAGATTGACAACCTCGATAAATCATCTTGACAAATTCAATTTAACGAACTCGCGTTTATTCAAGGTTTTACACTTAGTCGCAGCAAAGTGTGCAACATAAAGAACTACCTTTTACACTGGCGACAAGAAGTCGTCTCCTGTTTCAAAACAAACTTTCTTTAGTTCAATGGCCACCATTCTTTTACGGCGTGCCATGAGACACGTTGGTTACCCAATTAACTGTCCACAAGTAGGCAAAAATACGTGCCGTGCCTAAGGCCACGCTAACTAAATATTAACTTATATCATTCCATCATTAATCTCAATTTGTTTGACAGCAGACTTTTAACTAATTCGAACGGCGATCAGTGGAATGTTAGATATTCACATCGCTAACCAAAAATGTATTTTAAAATTATGCGACTGAATCAAGAGGCACGAATTTACGCACGCACGCTTCGGGAACTCGAGGGAGCCATGCAGCTCCGTGAATTATCCCAGATGCATGTGAAGGGCAAGTGTCATCTCTCCCAAATGCCGATTCTA